TTTAGCCCTTTTCAATTTTCTTTTCTCTTTAATTCAGCAGCAGATGGAAAAGGGAAAACATAACAAGGCTATTTTTAATAGAATACTCCAAATTCCTGCATATGACTAGTTGACATTCAAGAACATACTGTATCTGTGTGAGCATATGAAGCAAAGATTTACAAATACAGAATCCTGTAATTATCTATTCTCCTGAAATCCAGCTTTGTTAGGTAACTGGATGAGAAACAGTCTGTAGAATAGTACCTCTGTATAACCACAACACTGTCAGTTTTAAAAGGGACTTCCTCCTTTTTTTCTTTTAATAAACAGTTACCAGTTCTTCTGTACTTTAAGGGATTACAGGGAAGATATTAATAGCATTTTCATAATCAAACCACTCGACCATATTCTGACCAGATATGCTCGTGTACCTTTTCTACAGTAATTTTTGACATGTACCTCTATAAAACTCTATTTTCATTTTTCACATGGGATGATTAAAAGACAAACTTTGTTAATTGTGTGTTTGGACTGTGAATTCCTTGTACCAGAAAACAGGTGTCTTCCCCATGCTTTCTGTCCAGAACAGAGGTAATTTGTATTTATTAAACTGCTTAAGAGCTCCACTGAAGATCAAATAAATAATAACAGATGCCTAGCTTTACTTCGATTCCATATCAACCATGAAAAATAAAATACTACTATTAATTCACTTCTAGCCTTTCTCATACCGAGTTGTGCTAATGTTACTTGTACCTAACACATCACTTGGTGCCATAGCTTATCCTTTGCCCCACATAAGTATTCCTCCACAAAGAAACAATTTCTGCAGGATTTAAGTGCTTATAACAAAACACAACAGCAGCTAAGTTTGATGTGGAGTTTAATTTTCTGCACCTTTAAGAAAAAAAAACAAATCCCTAAATGCACTTTAAACTGTCTTTAATGTCTTTACTGACTTTGTTTTTACTTAGTACTTGCTTATGTGCCATAAAGCTTTTAATTCTTGGTCTCACTCATGAGCAGAACAGTTTCTGTTAATATTTATAAGACTAATTTTATTTGGAAATTGCAGAATCTGCTGTATTCTTTAATAATTCACAATTTTATACAAAGATCAGAGTAGCTAACAGAATGATAACTAAAAATAAATCGCAGCTATTGAAACTACCTTCCAATACTCTCAGTATTTACCATTATGCAAAATACAGGCACATTGCCTTTACAAATTAAAGCACTCTGAAGTGAATACAGCTTCAAAGCAAAGATTTTTAGGAAAGCTATTCAGGCAAGTGAAATTTTTTATTTTTAGAACTGTTTGCCTGTAGTGTGTCCCCTGTCTTCCCCCCACTCTTCACCACCCACCCCAGTAACTATGATAGTGCCTGCTGGCAAGGATAGGATAGCTATAATGTCTCAGCAATAGTCTGGAATTTGAAGGCTAGTTCCACTTTTCAACTGTGTGCATTGTATGTACGATAAGCTCAGGAATATTATATCTTTAGGAACACTGTAATGCTACACTCCTTGGTTTAGCTAAGGTGCAAAAAGTGCAAAATGGTCTGCGAGCAGAGCTTTCAGACCCTGTCACCTTGAGTGTGAACGTAACAAGCAGCGTTCTCCAGCTCCTACGTCCCCTATCGATCTGTACCTGTCCCAAAGCAGACAATCTGGAGTGGCTACTGGAGGCAGCAGCCCATGACAGATGGCCACAAGCCACTCAGCTGCACCCTCTAACTGAGCAGATCACGCATCTCCTCATCAGAGCTGCAGGAAAGTGTAACAGACAAGAGCTGATAGTCCAGGAGTGGTCCACCACTGCTGTACCTGCTACTGCCTTTCCCTGGGAAGGGAGCTCTGTGTCAGCCGAGGAGATGCATCAGGAGGCCAGCTCAGCCAAGCAAGGAAGCCACAGCGCAGCTTGAATGTGCAAAGGCAGCATACAGCACGGGGGAGGACACACAGGCTAGAAAGGAGGAACTGAGAAACACTGCCTGGGCATGCAGGGGTGGCAATTATTGTCAAGGAAGCCAAAGCTCAGATAGACTTGCAAGGGATGTCAAGGGTGCAAAGAGGAGCTTCTACTGCTATATTAATGGTAAAAGGCTGACGAAGGAAAATGTGGGCCCATTGCTGAATGGGGCGGGTGACACAGCGACAGCAGACACAGATCACAGCAGGTCCACACCAGCAAGTTCTGCCAGGCCTCTGTACCTAGTGATGGCACTTAAGGAGGAGAGGGGCTACCAGCCGGGGATGTTTATATTAAAGAAGCTGGAAAAAACCCATTGCTTACTGATTCTGATTGCAAATACGAGCAAGGAAAATATAATCCAAATTTAAGCAACACAGAAGAGAATTTCTTAGTCCTGAAATATTGGCAAGATCAAAAAATTTCCTTTCTTTAATGACTTTTTAATTCCAGTGGCTACACTATCTTTCTTACTTTGGAGTAAAAAGAAAAAGAGATTACAAGTTTTGAAGCCCTAAAAATCTAGGTCAGTTATCACTCACGCTAAGTAGCCATCCAAATACCATATGGGCAGAAAAAAGCAGTGGCAAAACTGATGTCCTTTTCCTGAAATGGATGGAGTATTTCTATTCTTTCTAAAGGCAGTAGTGCAAGGCAGGTAGTCAGATCCAGCCTCATTTGTTCAGCAAATTCAGCTACGTGAAAGATAACAGTGTCTGCTCCCTTTGTTTTACAAGGGAGAGAAAGACTTATTTGAATAGGAAAAAAACGCCAGTCCAATTCTTTTATGTATATATAACATTCAGTGTGTGTATATATATATATACAGACACACACAGACACATACTATACTATAGTGTAGATATACATATTTATGTATACACACTGATTAAAGATAATTTTCTTCTTTTCATTTAATAATATCAACATTTAGCTGGGCCTTTAAGAACTGCAGACTAACTTTAGAGCTGTTAATCTAAGATTACACAATGAAAAAGCTGATGTTTAATTCAGCGCTCAAATAACACGTAGCAAGAATTTACCCATACTTTCAAAGAACCAGTTCCCTTTATATGTAACAATTAAATGATTGATTCTTGTTCTTACTTTTCAGTCAGTTCCTTCTTTTAGATTCTGTTTATTATTTTCTGTACAATAGATCCCCCCAGGCTTTCACTGGCTAAGTAACCTTTGACAAGTGGGGGGATATACAAAAGGGCATCCAGATCCCCAGATGTGACATACTGATGCATTCTGCATTATCACACATGGCAGGAGCTCAGGAAATGCTCACACTGCAAGAGGCTACAGAAAGAACAATGTGTGGTGTTAGATGAATGTCTCATACTGAATATGCAGCTGAACATTAGGTCACCCAGCTTTACAAACCAAGCACAAGGCATTGCAGACTTCTGAGATAATTAAACAAAAAGTACCATTCATGTGCAGAAACAACGCTTTCCATCTTGCACCACAGGTGGCAGTGAACAACAAACTCTGATGTTCAGGATGCCTATTCTGTGTGATGAGTTCAGTCTACCCATTCTGCTGTTTTATTATGAAACTTTTAAGATTCCCCTCAGACAAAGCCAATCTTTTCTTTCCACAATCATTATGAATCTTGTGAAACTCAGAGATCTGGATAACTCCCCTTTTTCCTACTTTATATGTTATTACCTTTGCTACAGAAAAAATTCCATTTTACAACAATTCTCCTTGTCCACAAGAGGCACTGAAATCCATTCACCACGGGCCTCTCAAAGGACAATGGCAGATATTCTTCTCCTGCTTTGAAAATGTTATGTGGACATTAAGCACTACCTTTCAGCTGATGAAGAAATTACTTTGCTCCAGAAATAAGACTGCTGCCACTAGACATGCCTCCCCCATTCAGTTTCCTAGCTCTTGTTAACTTACAAAGAGGCAAACTTACCGAAGCCATACCGAACTTGCAGCTCTACATACAGTTTTTATCATATGTTACAATGGTACCACAGGGGTATTTATTGTGCCTCAGAAAAATAAAAAAATCATTAAAATCTTCAAATTAATGGCAAGCAAGAACAAGAATTAAAAAAAGCCCTCTACTGGACTACTTTTCTATATTAATCTGTATTTCCATAGATGGATCAGTGTAGTCCTGGATGTACAAACAGCGGGACAGCCCTGCAGAAAGGGATCTGGCGGTTGTGCTGGATGGTAGGCTCAATGAGTCAGCAATGTGCCCTGGAGGCCAAAATGGCCAACCGTATCCTTGGGTGCTTTAAGTACAGTATAGCCAACTGGTTGAAAGACGTGACTGTGCCACTATACTCAGCATTGCTGTGGCCTCACCTCAAGTACTGTGTGCAGTTTTGGCTCTACAATATAAGAAGGATATAAAAATATTAGAATATATCCAAAGCAGTGCAACAAAGATGGTGAAAGGAGTACATGGCATGACTTGTAAGGAGCAGATGAGGATATTGGGTTTGTTCAGCTTAGAGAAGAAGAGACTGACGGGTGACCTCATTGCTGTCTATAACTTCCTCACGAGGGGAGCAGAAAGGGTGATGCTGACCTCTGGTGCCTGGTGACAGGATGCGAGGGAATGGCTTAAAGCTGCATTGGGGAAGTTCAGATTGGATATTAGGAAAAAGTTCTTCAGTGAGAAGGTGGTCAAGCACTGGAACCAGTTCCCCAGGGAAGTGGTCATGGACCCAAGCTTGTTGGTGTTCAAGAAGTATTTGGACAACACCCTTAGATATATGGTTTAACTTTTAGATTGCCCTGTGTGGAGTCAGGAGTTGGACTTGATGACTCTTGCGAATCCCTTCCAACTCAGGATATTCCATTCTATGATTCTGTGACCTCAGATCCCAACAGCTTAACTAAAATACAGGCTTCATCAGTGCTTTGACATCCATAGTTTTTCCTAATTAAATTGCATGAAAAAGGAATGGAGGTTAAACAACATACAGAGCAACATCCTGCTCTCTGTTTTGCTGATGTAAATCTAGGACAGATGTGAATACAGAAGTTTAAAAAGTCAATAATTTTTACTCACTCGACAATCCCGCTGTAGTGTTTTCATTAGTGCACCATGTGTTTCAGAGTCAAAATACAACCCTTCATGCATGTCTTGCAAGAAATCCAAGTCTTTGAATGTAGGGTTGGACTTCTCCCTCTCTTTTCTTGATGCTCTCCGTTTGTATGTGGAGCCTTTCAAGTCATATGTGAAATGCATTTTCAAGGCTCGTGGCAAAACATTGTTCATTACAACAATTCTAATATTAATGCCTCCTGACTGAACGCAGTACAGCCCATAAAATTTGGGTAGAAGAGTCCTTGGATTCTGGTTCAGATTCTAAAACAAAAGAGATATTGTTAAATATGTCTATTTTCAATAAACTTCCATGCTTAAGCAAGTCTTTTCTAATACCAAAGGACATTAACAAGCATCAAGAAAACTGAATGTTATCTTATTCAGTATAGTTTCTTTAACCAGTTGATTTTATTTGAGAGTCTGTATTTCAGAAATCTAGCATAAACACTGCCTTTTTGCCAGGAACTTATATAGGCCAAGAGCAGAGCATTAACTGCATTTATGCTAGGTTTCTCTTTCTCACATCCTGTGAAAGAGAGAGGCCAAACCTAAGAGCATCCTGAAGAGTTCATTTATTCTGACCTGAACAACCTTTGCATTCCACCTGCTGGAAGGAGTTTGGGTCAAATGTAGTTCTTATTACCTTGACTTGGATTCTGAAAAACAGAACCCCTGTCTCCATGAGGCTTTTCACATTGATGGTTAGTGACAAATGACCAAGTTGTCTCCACAGGAGTGTGAGGTCATAACAGAACCACGACTGACCATCAGAACAGAAAAAGTGTGAAATAATCCAAATTCCACAACAGGCGAAAAATTAACTAGGAAAGGATCAGAGAGGTAAGAGCGAAAATCCTCCTTCTGAATACAACTACTCTCAGTTTTTGGCATGAAAAAGCAAGAAGGGGAAAAACTACTTCAAGTCTTACCTGATTACTAAGTCACAACTTACAAGTATAGGAAGAAGTACTTTCATAGGAAATAACCAGTGATTAAAGTTTTACACTTTGGAAACCCTTGTATATGGTAGCAGTGAGAATAAAGTTCTCAGAAACAAAGGAAAGTGGCCTTATATTTACGTAATAACTCAAATTTATGCTGAGTTGACTATCACAATTAGAAACAACAACAAAAAGTACTTGCCACCATTGCTCTTTTTGATGCTGTCAGTGCATAATTTTTTTTAAATGAACAGTGAATCCATTGTTACTCTGGTGTAATAATGACAACATTCCTAATTTTTAGTACAAGAGAGAGGGTAACTTTTCAAGTGTTTACTTCAGAAAGCAAAGAAAGTCAGTCAGTCACAGGTCTAATATTCTGAAGTCCTGCATACCACCTAGAGGAATCTCTGTTCATATCTATGACTGACTTTTGTTTTTAAAAAAAAAAAAAAAGAATTAAGTTCTACTTACTTTCGATCAATGGTTTCCCTTCCTGATGACTGACACACATAAAACAATACAATCCACTTAGTATTAGCCCTCAAAAAACTCAATTTAAAAATTAAGTTTTGAACAAATTATATGGATAAAAATTTTTTACATCATTGTTTGAATACATGAGAAATGCAAATTAGAAGTAGTCCAAAAAAAAAGTGAAACTGGTCTAGTTTATTTGTCTACTCTGAATGAAATGCAGAGTGTAGATAAACACAAAATGGAGAAAAAAAGTTGAAGTTTAGAAACCTTTTTTTGTTACTAGCTTATTAAAAGTAAAGTTTAGTGTCAAATCAGAAGATGACATTCAGCTTCATCTTGAATGCTAAAAGAGCAGCAATTATTATCTTAAATATTGATTTATATCTACTCTTTCTGATGGGAGTGTGGGGTACAAGGTTGAAAGGCAAAAAAAGACAAAAATATTATGAAAAATATGGACAAAGCCAACGAAAGATTAAAATACAACAAATGAAACTGAATCTTCAGAAGTGTGACATGAAACAGGAAAAATACAGGTAAAATACAATCTTCAATTACTTACCATATAATAACCCGGCAAGAGCTTCTGAAGAAACTCAGCCTCTTTGTGTTGAACTGTTTTGATGATGAACTCATCATCACTGGTTACAAAAAATAGGGACCCACTGGCACCTGGGTTGGATAATTCAATTAAAGGCTCACTGCAGATTGAGTACTGGAAGAGACAAAAATTGTTTTTCACTGCCAATGTATGTGTTACTCAAACATAAGTTTAATACAAAGAACTGCAAGTTCAAATAGGTACAGAACAATCATGGAGTTTATTCTTTGGGCTTCAACTGCAGCAACTCTGCTACTGTGCAGCAAGCCAAGTCACAGTAATTTTGCTGAGATTTGGCAGGGCAGTTGTTACACTCCACTCTGCCCAGGACACGCTGCACAACCATGGAAGAGTAGTTGGCAGCCAAACATACAGTCCCTCTTCACGTCCCACTGCACCAGCTGAACTTTCCCTGGAGTGAAGCAAGTGGTTGAGGTGGAGAGAGTCCATTCCCACACCGTCAGCATTGCAAATTCTTGAGTCAGAAGGTTTAAGGTGACATTTTCACTGCAACTGTTCGCTTTTCACAGCCATTTATGAAACAGGTACAGGAAAGTACTAGACAAAACACACTGGGAATGGAAGTTTCTCGCTGTAGCCAAATAGGCAAGTCCTCGTCTGTGAAACTGAGATTGAAACCATTAGAATAATAATATCAGTATAGCTGCTAATGTAGTTTTCTGACTGAAAACTGCTTGAAACAGAAACACATCAGTAAGTACGAAAAATTACGTTTTGGAGGACCGCTATTTCGGATGCTTAGAAAGGCCTTCTCTTGCACAGGGAGACAGTAATAATTAAAATCACGTTAAGGATGAAAAATATACCAAGGAGTATTCCTTAGCAGTAGAAGCAGCTCTCACACAGAGGCTAATGTACACTTATTAAATCTCCACTAATTCACACTTCATGTTTCATTCAAACTAAATGGAGAGGAGACATTAAGCTCAAAAACATAGAGAAATCTGTTCATATTAAACTTGGGAGCTTGTTTAAAATATAACACCATTAAACTCTCATTCACACACTCTTTTGTTGTATATCATCAACTTTACATACTTGGAGATTTACTGTACAGTCCATATTTTAAGGCTTCAGTCTTTGAAAGAAACAAAATTACACAGGACGTAAATTGTGAGTAGTGTAAGCACCAGGGAATTGTTGTTAGCAGTGCGGTATGTCTTCTGGTCTTCTCAGAACAAAAGGAAGAACTGTTTCACAGTAACAAATATCTGGTTTATTGGGTCATTGCCTGAGATAAGTTGAGCAATTCCACAAGAAAAAACAGTTTTGTTTGCTGAAAACAGCTTTCATTAAATTTAACTGGAGTCGTGCCATTGATTTCAGTGGGTGGTGATAGCAAAGAAAAGTGATCAAGAAAATCTAATAATTATGTTCTTCTGAGCCTTTGAACTAAAGAAGCATACTTCCTATGGACTCAAACCACTGCTTTAATGCATTTTCTTATCCTGGCTCCAGCTGAGGCTTTTCCCATGCTTGCAATTTTTAAGAGACTTCTGCATGCTATAAAAATGTTGCTAGTTTCTCTCCCTGCTTTTCCAGTTCATTCAGTTCCAACTAATACAAAAGACCTTTCTTATTAATCCTGTAGTCGCAATTGTCTATGGATAGAACAGCAATATGGGTCTGTAGCACCACAGACCTTCAGAGCAAATCAGCAGTTATATTGCAACCCCTGTGTTTTCTTGCCAAAATATATAAAGCTTCATGAGCAATTGTCATAGTTTTATGCATTTGAAACCGATTACCCTAAACATTAAAGCTGAATAAACCAGTATATCATAATCACAAGTTATTAACCTACACTGTGTGTTGGTTATTTTACGGTTGAGTTCATTTCTGTAAAATAAAAGTCTACCCACCAAGTGCTGCTATACAAAGAGCCCAGCTAATTTTGACTGGACACTTATGAAAGCCAAATCAAAACTGGAAAATAAGAAAATCCCCAAGCCCCTGACAAATAAGCACTTTATCATCAACAAGTTTCCATGCAAATCGCCAGTACTCCATGAGGCTTCCGGTAACAATTTAGTTCTACCAGCTGTTCAAATGTATTTACCGTCATTATCCAGTATGACTCCAACAGTGCATTACCGCTCAGCCTCCTTGGAAAAGGTGAAACTAAATCTTTGGGCTTTGTCATTGCAAATTAGCAGTGTAAACTCACACAGGCTTGTTGTAATTTCTCCCCTTTTTACTTTACTTCCCTTCCCCTTCAGCCACAGTTGGACAATCAGTTGGCGTATTGTTACAGTAAAGTGTTCTAGATACTGAATTGGAATTACGGTCACTACATGACAGATCCAGATTTCATAGAAACAAGAAGGACTGTTCAGCCAGAACCACAACACGTGTTATTGGGAGCAAACTCTTAACCAGATGTTTTGGTCATAACCAATTGGGAAAAGGGTGCGAAACTAAAAATAGTTTTGCTTTATGATTATAGTACCCTCTAATCACATCTGCCTCTGGACTGCAACGGACTGCAACCTGCTCCAATTGCAAAGCGATGCCCCTTTAGAATCACAAACAACAGAAATGGATTTTAACATGCTTGCAGAGAAAGTATAACCCTAACAGAGGCATGCATCAGTTAAAACAACACACACTGAAGTTCCAACTGTATTTCACATAAATACCTGTTTGTTGAAGGAAATCTGCTTTTGCATTTTCAAGAAAAGAACGTGCACTTATCTTGAAACTAGCTTTTCTAGTTGCCCATTTTCCTCGGAAACATATCAGTAGGGTCTTTCGCTGTGCCAATACGAAAAAGAATCTGCCAACAAGTTGCCTTTACTGAGAAGTTCCCTCAGGGATTAGTCATCTTGTAGCTAAATTGAGTGTCACAAATCTCTTATCAACAGCAAGCAGTCTTTCTATAATCTTTCATTTTTGCTAATGCAAATGCTTCCTTAGATGGAACAGAAGTTGCAGGTGACAACAGCTGTACTCTAGGAAGTACAGTCTTTTTAGCAGCTGGCAACACAGCCCGAAAACTTCGTCTTTCACCACCTCCATAAAAAGAGATAGATAAACGACATATTACATAATGACACCTTTATAAAACTCCAACCCAACTGCACTTCCCTGCTACTATCATCTGTAATTCCAAGGAATAATCTCTTTTTATATATAACTATTGTCATGAGGGCTAGTAATACAAAATCCATACAGAGTACTAAAGAATTAAAATTGGACACCCATATTCAACCTAAATAAAAGCAAAACCAGCAAAGTTTTGCTTTTAGGTTCATTGTCCAATAAGGAAAAAACACCTTATAATACGCTTGACGCCACAGAAGTCAGTGAAGTAATATATTAAGTAACGTTTCAGCACTATTTAATAATTTTTTCTTTTTTATTCATTCAAGCTCTTTCAAATTCTTCTGGTTTTAAAGAAACATCAATAATGGAACAAAAAGGCCTAAAAACTCATTCAAAAGAATTTAACAATAAAAGTCTGATGTATGAAATAGCTAATTTGTACTGGAACTCTGATTTGTTGGGTGGAGTGGCATGAGACAAACTGGACATGAGGCAAACATCTAGAAAACAATCCAGCTCTTTGCTTTCACACTACCCTTCCAAAAGCAGAACTACAGAAGAAGTAAAATGGTGGATCCTTGTCCCTGGCAGTGCACAAAGAGGTTCTACTAAGTAAAGCCTGCATTTGCTGCTGTCATAAAAGCATCACTTTTTTCTCATGTAAACAGTTTGAACACTGAAAAGGAATAAGTCTTCAAACTATAAAATACAGAGAACAAAGGAGACACTCTAAAATGCTTCTTTTTAGCCCACCACCCACTTTCCTCAAGGCTAGATGGGAACATTTGTGGACAAACACTTCTTTAATGAAGTGAATAAACAATGGAAATAACACAAGAGCACTTTATTAGAACTGTATTGGTAGAAGTCACACAAGTACTGATTACAGCTTCTCTAGGGACAATGACCTGAATGAGAAGTAATACTCAAGTTACTCTAGTCAATTAACAAGGCAGGTTTTTATAGGAATTGTCTCAAAGATGAAGAATTAAATTTTCTGTAAAACACTACAAATATTCACTAGTTATAAATCACTCCACATACAAAATGTACTACCCATTTGGGTACCATTAAAGCATCATCTTCTGTCACTATAAAACTAATACACATTATAATCATTTGTAACTCAAAGGAAAACTGCAAGCTCTTACCAAGTAATCATCAGGCTTGATACCAAAAAGTTCTCTGAAATAGCGGAAGGCAAGAGGTGCATACGTCTTAAATCTGAAGTCAGGGTAATGATGAGCAGGGGTGAGATTGCTCCCTTCACTGAAAACAAAAACAAAAATAAACCAAACCCAATTATTGCTGAGCAATTTTTAGCTACTTCCTTCTTGCAGCTAGTTTTACTGAAAAGCTGCCTAACTCAATCATTGGCCTTCTGAGACAACAGTCATAAATGCAGATAAACCTCCCTATCACCATTATTCAGTGTAATATAAATGTCTGTGAGAGACAGAACACTGCCCGCAAATTCCTTTCTCCCACCTGACAGGAATTTACTATTTTCACCACTCATATCTATTTGCATAAAGATAGGGTTTAAACTAATGCTGCAACTTCTGAGACCCCTCCAAGGTAAGACAGTCTAATGGCTTACTGATGCAGGGAGGGTCACCCCACCTCACGTAAGCTCTTGCAAAAAGTTTGGAAGGCAACGCAGCAAAACAACCTCACACTAGCTTGGCAACCTGAATCAGTTTGAAGGGGAGATGGATACTAAGGACAGCACAACACAGAGGGCAGAACCATGAGGCCAGAGCAGTGGGAAGGAAGCAGGACTACATGTTTTTTGGTGCTAGGAAACATGGATTGGCTCAGCCTTATTTATGAAACGGCATCCTCAGCGTTAGTATCTTCTGCAGGCTAACTGCAGTTATGATATCTCTTTCTTTCTTGCTAGTACAGTCCAGAATTGGGAAGCCATTCTGGCTTCGCTGACCTTAAAGTGATTTTCTGTTTGCCTGTCACATCACATATTTTACCCCACCTCAATCTAAACCATCACTAGCTTACACACTCAGTTGTTTAAATAGGAACACAGGGTACAGACCCTCCGGGGAATTCTGTAAAATGGTATGCAGCTATATGCACGATACAGATTCAAACTAGAAGAGGCACAGACAAAGATTACTATGGTGACCAGCCTGGAAGACAGTCTTTCTTAAAGAAAAAAAAAATTCATTGTAGCCTCCCTAGCTCTTTTCCTTGTTTTATATTTACCATCTCACTGTATTTTTAGGCTGCAGTTGTATGAGTCTTGAGATGAATACCACATGAATTAAGCTAAAGGAAAAGGTCAGCAGCAAAATGCTGCCAAAAGTAAAAAATTTATATAGAAACTGCCTGTGGATTCATTTATGATGGAAACTAAAAGAAGGCTTTTAAGCAGAAGAGTAAAGTTCTACACTATGATTTCAACACAAACAAGAACAGCTTTGAGACAAAGTTTGGTCAGTCTCTGAATGGTTTGATAAATAGATGAGTACAAAATCCAAGACTTCACACAGTGGCCAAAATCAGCTCTTACAGCACTTCTTTACTCATTTACCCTAACTAAATTACTCAGAAATGCAGCATGTACCTCCATCCTTGGCAATAAGAACACTCAAAGTATACAAAAAAGAAAAGAAAAAAAAAAAAAGAAAGAAAAAAGCTAGGAATTCACACAGATATGAAAAGAAATAAACTCTAAGCAACAATCCTGCAAAGACTAAGTTAAGTATAATGAAAATACTTAAGAGCTTTGATCCTGTACAATTAATGCTTGTCATATGAACTTGTCACTTTCCATTAATAACAATTCGATGACAGAAGTCTACCCAACCCACCTGGCTGCCCCTGCATGCATACCACTAAAACCCAACAGAACTGAACTGCTGCTAATTAAACACTGTGACCTAGAGAACAAGCTTTCTCAGGCTCCAGAAATACATATACTTTAGACTCCTGAATAGGAAAAAACAATCTAATTTCTGTCTGGAAATCACAAGTAAAAAGATGGTTGTCGATGAGTAAGGATACATACAAAGACATTAGAATACTGCTGCTTCTTGGAGTGCTGAACCATACGGTTAACAGCTAGTGAAGGCTGCCTAGTCCTAATGAACTCATCTGATCACTTTATAGTCTACTGTACCACAACTCCAAGGTATTATATAATCAAATCCACATGTATATTATTGTTCCATTATATAATAAAAAAGGGAAATCAATAGGACACTAGGCTGAACATGGTAGTTTTTCTTTACAGTTAAGATAGGCTAATGCTCTTTCTTATAAGATCTTTCAGCTGCTCAGAACACTGCCAGTCTTGTCTGACATCAAGTTTTATATAGCTGGATGCATCTCATTTAATTTTTGTACAATATGAGGATGCCACAGGGGTAATGTATAGCTACACTGGGAACCTGGGGGCATATTTGTAGATGGATTTAATTGTTGTAAGATGCAGACAAGAACAGAACAGGGTGTTCTCTGCTGAAGCATCACATCATTGTCAGGGAAGATTAATCATCTAAACTTTATAAAAAGGCCCTACCTTTCAGTACATAAATACATTTATAAATCTGCTTCCTGCAGCCATAACTCAAAAGCTTCTTTTGTGAAAATGTGGCAATAAATAGATTACATGTCTTTACTACACCAGAACATGTACTGTTGTTGCAACATCACCAGGCTGAAATGAAGATAGGAGGTTTGCTGTCGTATTACCATGGGTCCAAGCTATTTCATAAGTGCACATGGAGTAAAATGACCAATACTGGGTCTGCAGGTGGACAGTAATGCATAGTAAGTGGAAATTTATTCCGGAATAATTGCAAAACAGACCAATTCTTTTGGAACATGGAACTGACCTCTGTGTAGATGCTGTAGTTAAAGCACATGAGCTTACTTTATTACAGGTATGATAGTCAATTTTACTATGCAGAGAAGTTTCCTTATTCTTTGTAAAATCATCTTTAAAAATCCCTTTTACTAAAGGTCTACAGAGCTTTTCATCATACTCTTCCATTTGTGTTAAACATATTCATTAGTTTCAGCCTCACTGCCTAATAGAACACTTTACAGGATCCCAACAGTAATCTCTTCTGTGATGCAAGAAGCAAGCTTGACAAAATTTAAGATTTCTTGGTTACCCCTCTGGAAGAAAGTTTGTAAGGTTTTCTTGTTGCTACTTTTAACAGAAAAAGCACTCCCACTTCCAAGAATTTCATACAGTAACGGAAAAACTTCAGATTCCTTGTGGCTGAGTATGTCCTTGCTCTTACCTGAAAAGGACAGTTTCTACTGTACAGAACGCTTGATGTAAATACATCTCTACCCTATTTAGACATGAAATTATTCACCTTCTACTCTATTAGCTCTTGAGAGAATGTATTTTGTGGTTTTTCCCCATGTTTTCTTGGCATATTTTACAATTGCGTTTCACTCTGGCTGGATTAAAGTATATGTGCAAAGCACTACGTATAAGAACTTTTAATCATGCTAGGGAGTTTCATGGGGACGATCATGTCTTTGAATTTGAACAAGAAAAATACCCATGATCTGTTGACAAAAAACTTAATCTGCAAAATGGAGCTTTGGACATAATAGAAATGTACTCTATGAAAAAAAGGAGGCAATCATATAATTTTTCTCTCAGACAGTTTAGGGCACAGGTCTACCAGAAAAAAAAGAAAACGAAAAATAAAGGCTTTTAATACCAGCTTTGATTCTGGCAATCTTGAGGAGTTCAAGTCTCTGTATAAGAGCTATGACAAACAATATAGGCTTTGTAAAGATTAGCAAGCAATTGTAACTTACAAGGTATTTTAATAACCTTAGCTGTAAGACCACACAAAAGCAGAAGATTGGGAGGGGAGGGGGGGAGGAAGGAAGAGAGAGATTAAGCTTACTATGTGAGCTTTCTTTAATACTTAAATTTTAGATTTTTTTTTTTTTTAAATCAAGCATACCTAGAAATGACAGTATGTGCATCTTAACCTGTCTCTTAGTAAATGCTGAGGGTTGATTTAAAGTGTAGGTGGTGCAATATCAAACTAAAAATGAACTAAAACTAATTATATTTTTAATGGCTAACCCTGTGGCTTGCAAAAATTTTGCTAAACAAGACACCCAGATACGTTTCTTGACAGCTTTTCTTTAGTATGGCCTCACCCTGGTAGGACATACTCACGAGATAGCACAGCTATCTGAAGGGGCAAAGAAGGTAGCAAGCCTTCGTTGCAGAGCAATGTTAATAGGCTCTGACGTAGCTGTTAACAAAAGAAATAGTCACACTGTAGTCGTGGGCCCATGTATACCCTTTTTGTATGTAATGTGAAAAGATTGAAGAGGCAGCTGCACAGCCTCCTATGAAGAGGAGGAACACCTCAGTCCTCTCATGTGAAAGCAACTCTTTTTTAAATCTTAAAATCAAAGTAAAACATCTACAATTAAATGGTCCTGGTATTAAAAACTAAGAGTATCCAATCTTGGTTTCCTTGTTTTTGGATAAAGCTGCTCTTTTACAATACATCAAAATGTGTTTAACTCTACAAACTGTACCCAATAAATACATACTGACAGATCAGGTAGTACTTTGGAGTATTCACTTCCCATATATCATTTCAGAAAAGCAATTGTTTCCCACATGATGGAAGCAGGTATTATGGCTACCTGTACAAATAGGTGTGTGTTTGGTTTTTTGATACTGCGGGATAAAGTCCAGTGGTAATATCCTTGTTTCTCACTGTATGTTCTCCTACACTTTCGGTTACTATATGCTATCCTAAGCAGTCCTCTGCAAGGCAGCTGTAAAATACAACTGTGAATAGTAAATACCTTCAAAACAAGTCAAGCCAATCGTATCTATGTAACAGCTGAATACACAGACATTTTCTTGTGATGATGATATGACTATTTCACAACCAACTGGAGATGCCATTAAAGCAAGGGATCTCAGAGTACTTTAAAAATAGTTTAAGTATGTCTACATAACCACACAAATATCCAGGTTAACACAGGTTTACCAAGAATTTCACACTAACAGAAGTAGCTAAGACCAGTAATTTGTAATGAATTCGTTTTTGCTTTTGTTGACACAGTATCCCCATTTCAAATGCTATTCATTTTGCAAACAGAAATGACTTCCTCCTATCTGTGGTATCACTCTACTCACAAACCATAGAAAGGGTGTCAGAACTTGGGTCATCCTCTGCATCTCTGCAACCAAAGCACCGAAGAAGAGCAGCAGTGCTTTATCAAAGCCTTTAGGCTGCTTTTTTTATCTGTCTTGTGAAACTGCCCAACTGGAAACAAATACAGTGGCATAAGTTACACAACAGCTAAGCATTAGTGTGAACACTGGAGTACTACCCACACTGATAACGAAGAGCATTCTATACTACTTTAATTACAAAGACACTACTTAGCCCATCAGGTAACCTATGACACAGGTTTGGTACAAAGATTATTTCCAAGGGCAAGTGTCAGTTTTCCTCATTTTTCTAAATCATTCCTCAAAAACATACCAGAAAACAGCACACTGCACTTTTAGATGTAGGGTAAAACCCAGACTCAAAAATATGTCCAAGATTTTTCTTTTCTTAGCACTTTTGACTACTTATTTGGGCTGTCATCCAAATGCTATCATAATACAATATTAAGCTTTTGACATTAAAAAGCAGAAAGCACTGAATAATCTTTCATTAGCATCACAAGAAAGCAATTTGTAATTGAACCAGTTTGCTGCACAGATGACTGTAGCTGCAAGGTGCATACAGGTCAACAGCATCTAACAGACTTACTAGTTAAATTAGAAACCATAGCAAGTATTCTCGATAGGGTCTACACCCTGAAAAGAAAGCGTATTAGCAACAGAAGCGTACCAGACTGATTAACAGCTTGCTGCAAAAAGGTCAAACTCACAGCTGTGCTTAGCAGCAGCCTCCACCTAAGAAAACAAAAAGAGATGGAGCCTTGCTCCAAATGCTCTGCATTTCTGAAGCTGCATACAGCTGACTAGCCAAAGTTAGCTGACAGCATGGAGCAGCTTTTGGTTTTGGCTTGTCAAGCACCGCCATAGAAAATGTGCCTACTTAGTATGTGTCTGCTGGAAGAGCTTAGCAAGCTGCCCACCTTGCCAACTCACAGGCAGCTACACAGCCCCATGGTCCAGCGACCTGCTTGAGCCACCACTGCCTGACACAGCTAGGCTTATTAGCTCAGCAACGAGCCTTTCTAACCATGGCCACATTACTTGGAGCCAGCTCCACATTTGAATCAAACAGCTGTCAAAACATTGCTGTAGCCACACTGCACAAATAACTGATTTGCAGGCAAAATGCGCCACCAAGATACGAACTGGTTCCAACCAAGGAAGTCAGGAGCACAGAGTATAACGTAGGAAGGGGAGAATATGCCCCACGCAGTGAAGTGATAAGACAGAGCGTAAAGAGAACAGGCAGGAGGCAGAGTCTTCCACTGAACCCTTCAGCCACTGCTGCAGCAGTACCAGCACCAGGTAAGCAACTTCATTGCTGGATTTCCAAAAGTGTTTAAAAGCCAGAAGAGAGGTTACTTGTAGTAGTTCTCCCTGGGTGTTCACCCTGTTCAGGGAGCTGGGTGGAGACTTAAGACACTGTATCTTCAAAATCAGCTGGGTCACTGCAGACTGCATTTGTTTTTCAGTCCAAGGAGCATATTTGCATAATGCCATTTAAACTCAATCTGGACAGTGGTTCTCAATGACCTCCTTTATAGCAGCTCCTAATACCTCACCTAGGTCCCAAAAGCAACATGTTATAAACTCCTGCCTGAAAAGAAAGGGACGAAGGGGATGCCACAACGTGAAGCTGAAAGCAACAGAGGCACTTTTCCACCTCCTCCACCACTACAATGTACAAATGAAAGCAAGCACCTTTGCAACTCAAATTCACGCACTGTAGAGATACCTGCACTTCACTCAAAGTCACTTCCTGAAATAAACATCTAAATGAATCTGGGCTAAACTTTGACCAATTTAACCCAGTTACAAAGTAACTCTGGACCAGGCATAACCTGCAATCCGTGGAGTTACTCCTGATTGACATCAGTAGCTCCCACAATAAGCAGGGCAGTTATGTTCAGGTCTGAATTTTTCTCCCTCCTTCATGAATCCCAAACACAGCTGGAAGTGTTTTCCTATGGTTACCGAAGCTGAGGTACAGGCGGTGCTGAGGTTTACTTCAGGGGCTGAGATACACACAGAGACTGTTTACCTTCTTCAACTGATAAAATTTATAAACAAATGTTGACTTTTTTCCCCTAACAGTAAAAGGGCACAGATAACACTATTTTGCTCGCTGGCACGCAGGCTGCCGTTTCATTGCATTTCTACTAGCTCAGGCCTATTTTATCACTGCCACCATACCAGTGCTCCTGTTGCTGTCAAAGCAGCAGGTGTGCCTATGACTCTGCAAAACAGCTGTCCTCTCACCTCACTGCCAGACCCGGATAAGGGGAGGTGGACGCCGGGAAAACATGGGAGGAAGGTTGAGCAGGACAGCTTGCGAAGAGGCAGGTTGCTGTGAACTGGCCACAATGAAGGGGAAGCTCAGCTAACAGCCTGCTCGGAGTTGCAGCTGAATTATGCATACCCAAAGCAAGTGAAAAAATGCTGTTCTTTGTTTGGTAAGCTTTCAGCACCACGCTTGCTGCACTGTCAGGTTCTCCTCCAGCTGCAGACATCTGGCAAAAAGCTTACTTAACCTTGGCTTGCTCCAGGGTGCTTCCAGGTAGAGGTCAGCCCACTGGACTTGCTGGTGTAATTTCAACTAATTGCTTTCAACACAGACGAATCCAAAGGAGGGGGGGAAGTCATTAAAGTCATGACTTTTAACAACACTGCCTTCACATGTCGGTACCGTCCTAGGAAAAAGTGAAGAGCACCTAAGGTGCACCTTGGGAGCACAGCCCTATCCGGAAAGAACATGCAACCTTAGCTTTTTACCTCTGACTAGGTTAACAAAGCTACCTATAGATATGACTCAGGAGTGATCCACATAATGCCATCATGAAAGACTCAACGTCCAACACCCTCAACCAGCATAAAGAAGCCTGTATCATTATGCGCAATCCTAAATTATAACAATTTATGCAAACTAATACCCACTTTGGATTGAAACCATTTCAAATAACTGAATGTGCATGTTACATTGAGACATAGGAAGGACTTGAAATTTGACATTTCTGTGCATTAGCATGAGAAATCAAGTGTCATGGTTTTAAGAGATTGCTATAGATAGCCAATTTTTAGTTTCACAGAGAATGTTATCAGCAGATGCTCTTTATAGAGAGGGTCTTTGTTAAAGTCAAGATGTCTCACTATGTTAAATACTCTTGCTTACTAGACAGCTATGCAAAAAAAAGCTACACTGCTTTGGCCATTACTTTAATTTGTCTAATTTTCCTCATACGATTTATTTATAGGAAACTGTCCAGAAAGGTGCTACTAAAGTTTTTATAACAAATTTTATGTTACTGCACACAGGCTATTCATTCTACCTTTATTTTCTTTTTAAGCCAGAAGGGACCTCTCCCAGCTCTCCTTTAAAACCATGACAAAACAGGGAAATCTCATTTCTGAGTGCACATGCATGTAAGTTTCAGAGAAGACATATGCAATGCTATGGACTACAAACCATTTTATTTTACTCGTTCCTTTAAAACTATGTAAAAAAAAAAAGTAGAGATTAGATTTTTTTCCCCAAAACTGTGCTATGTAATGAAACAGTTTTAGCATATATGTTTCATTTAACTTCCATGAACAAAGCTGCTATCACAGCCAAACAAACTACAGAAGCCTGCATGGCTGTCACAGTCAAACATCTCACAAAGATGATGGCTCACTCCCTCTCACTCCCTTTTTCAGACCAATAAAAACTCTGTTAGATGATATGCAAATTTCTCAGCTGTAATCTGGATTTTTTTAAACAAACAAAATTTTGTTATGACAGTGTATGAAAACGCATGCACATAGTTAACTTCTCTGTATTTAACTAATCTGCAACAGAAAGACGACAAAACTGTGCACAAACCTTATAGTTAACACCAGAACAAGGATATGAATACCCTCAATTACTAGGAACTAAAGAATGTAATGTAAAAGCTTCATTTCACATAAGAAATAAATTTTCTTCTCCTTAAAGGATATCTCAGTTCAGAGGAAAACAGGAGTTGAATCAAGCTAATTTACATGAGCAGAGATCAACTTTAAAGTGCTTGCAATTACTTCATATATTTTGGTTTTTTAAGGATTGTAAATTATTAGGAACAGTTTATGAAGTAGCATTCAAACTGCACATGAACAAAACTTTGAAAAACTCACAGAAAGCATCCCCAAATTGAGGGAATACTACATACGTAACATGTCCTTATGGAAATGGTACTTACTGGTACTTAGTACTTCTAAGAACCCAGACAACACTGAACAGAGCAAGTCACCCTGGTTTTGAAATATATTTTTCCTAAACCTTCTTCATTTTTCCTAAACCTTCTAAACATTCCTAGCATATGTAACTTGGAAAAGTTACACGGCATTATACTTCAGCTTCTGAACCCCCAAAATGAGTATGACCTTGATTTCTCTCATCAGCATAACTGTATTATTACAAATTCTATACCATGAATTTGGCAGTGATACAAGCTGAGGTGGCCAAATGCAAAGCAATAATGGTGTACAATCTGTAGTCAGCTAGTAAAAGCTAAGCCTTGTCACAGGCTAAAGTCCTGGCTAGAATTTCATAGTGTAGTGTAAATTCTTATATTACTCTTAACACTGCAGGACTTGAAGTTTCATAGATTTTGACAACACCTCAACAAAATGTCAAGTATTATTCTCAGTTTTTAGAAATTAAACTGAAACTAAGCAAACGTGAATGTTAGCCACAATACTTAGTTGCATATGGATCCACAAATCACTTCCAATTATAATTAACAGCTCCTTTAATTAAAAGTGTCAATTACTTTCCTTCTCTAGAAGTGACAAGTCTCAAATCTTCAGTTGAAGTGTGATCTTCCCCGTTTTCTCCCTACCTTCATTTTCAACGACAACATGAAGACAGGATAATTTTCAAGTTCTCATACATTAAACTTACTCTAACCCCATTTCGTTAGAACTGGAAAACAATCCTTGTTTGAAATACCTAGTTAGAGTTTCATTATGAAATTCTATTGAAAATAAATTGAATAGGCTTGTCCTTACCTTGGTAGGAAGACACTTTCCACTACATAGAAGTCTTGCATAAGAACATCTCTGTCGGGTTTTGATGTAAGGTTTCCTACTGTGTATCCTATTCCCAGCTGGATAGCACCTTTAATAGCTGAGGATGCAGTCTGCAGAGAAAATAAGAATTCAGGCATGAGTTTCTAAAAATCTAAAAATAGATTCCTGTTCTTTATCAGTAACTTTACATGCTAAACTCTTAATCATTTTCATAACACCACCACCATGTCATCTTTACCTCCTAGACCCCAGAGAGATGACTACTTTTCAATTACAAGATTTAAAAGAAACAGTATGCTGTAGCAAAAGCTACAATAATAAATTTTCTGGTTGTACAGACTGAGACTTTTCGAATTGCCCAAATAATTTAGACATTGGGTTCTAACTAATCATAGAATCACAGAATACCAGGTTGGAAGGGACCTCAAGGATCATGTGGTCCAACCTTTCTTGGCAAAAGCATGGTCCAGACAAGATGGCCCAGCAGTCTGTCCTGCCGAATCTTAAAAGTGTCCAATGTTGGGGAATCCACCACTTCCCTGCGGAGATTATTGCAATGGCTGATCATTCGCATTGTGACAAATCTTCCTCTTGTGTCTAGTCAGAATCTCCCCAGGAGTAACTTGTACCCATTGCCCCTCAGCTTTTCCATGTGACCCCTTGTAAAAAGGGAGTCTCCACCTTCTTTGTAGCCACCCTTTAAATACTGGAACCTGGTGATGAGGTCTCTCTTAACCTTTCTTGTCTCAAGGCTGAACACAGTTCTCTCAGCCTTTCCTCATATGGCAGGCTTCCCAGTCCTTCGATCATCTTTGTGGCCCTTCTCTGGACCCTCTCCACCCTGTCCACATCTTTTTTTTTTTGTAGCGGGGACCAGAACTGTACACAGTATTCCAGGTGTGGCCT